CAAACTGGCAACAAACTGGCAACGAACCGGCTGCAAACTGGCAACAAACTGGCAACAAACCAGCTGCAAACTGGCAACAGACTGGCTTTAAACTGGCAACAAACTAGCAACAAACCAGCAAAAAACCGGCAGCAAACGCAATGATCGACAGCCACACAAACACGGTTTGCACGAGAAAAATACTCCAAAGACAACCTGCTTAAGAAAATACATCAGGACTGACAGAGAAAAGAGACACGAGCTGCACGGATTCCTGCGTGTGCGCGTGTGTGTGTGTTTTAATGCTCACCAGTAGGGTCAAAGTCATGAAAGTATGCAGGGCACATCTGCATGGCCGTCCCTGGAGACGAGTCTCCCCAACACATCCAGCCGTCCCATGTTCGGTTGCAGTAAGGTCCTACAGAGGGCGGCAGGGAGAGGACATCAACGTTAATAATCAGGGATGATAAAGGAGCTGTACAAGAGTTCAATGAGCCCAAAACCATCTCTTCTCTGTATAAAAGACAAGTCAATTCTTCATTTGTGTCTCTATCTGTAGCCCTGAGGTTTGGAAATGCAGACATGGAGAGATGAAATGTGTAACCTCACTTAGTCATGTTTAAAATAAAACTTATTTGTGCTAAGCTACGTTGATTTAATTGTTTTTTCTCCTCCATTAAAGATGATTCCGTAAAACAACGCGTGGCATAAATAAGTTAATCAATTTGTTTAGGTTATCTGTTTTAGCTATTCAAACATAATGGGGCACAATCTAAAAGTAAACTGTACACGTTTAGTTTTGAATTGTGATGCACGTGTTGCTGTTTAAATATGAAAAAACTAACAGAATTGACTTGTTTATCCACCATAATTTATAAAATGAAGAGCAAGTTGTGGACCAAGTTATAGGAAGACGTACAGTGAGAATCTTACTTCACTTCTGTGAAGTACAAAATTCCACATGCAGACAAAACGCCAAAGAATAAAATGTCACACTCTGCAGAGTGGACAAAACTATAAAGATTAAGTAAACCTGCTAACAGAATTAATCAGATAAATGATCTATCAAACAATGGTGTGTTACATTTAAATAAACTGTGTCTCACCATGTCTTGGCCACACAAGGCTTGTCAACAATGGGCGGAAACCTGCCGATAGCAGCTCGCACAGTTGCATGCAGGGAAAAACAGCGCGGAGCGACATTTCAAAGGCAACGAATGGGAGTAGCAGGCGTTGAGAAAGAGACAAAGGGCAACTTCCTTTCATTCAGGCTCGCTTCCTCTCTTCCTCTGTCTCTTTTGCCTCAATTACGCACCGAGGTTGCATGCTGTTAAATGCCACAGTAAAGTAGAATATGCCTGATTGTCCTTGAGGGGGAAAGTTGTCTTAAACTGCCCATGTTGCTACCCCAAAATAGCATATAAAGAGGTAGCAAAAGGCCTTACTCAGCAGTCTGTATGTCTATCATAGTGCAAGAGCTCATACTCTCTGTGGAAGGTATAAGATGTCTGACCCATCAGGGATAGGGCACTTGTATCCATTTCCTCCTAAAATCCTGCATTATTCAATAAGATTTTTACACTTAACATATCTACATATATTATTTCTAAAATTTTGTGACAGTCATGCAAAAACAGATTTGCAAAAAACATTCAGCTGCAATATAATACTGTTCATAAAGTTGTGCAAAATTACATATTAGTGGGAATTTTCCACTTTTCTAGCAAGAGTGAGGTTTAGTAAATGAAAAGCTGGTTTCATATCTCACACTTAGGGCTTTAAATGACAGTCCAAAACCATCACCATTTTTGGTGAAACAACCCTGCTTAGTTAAACCAGATACTGTTCAACGAGATGGTCTGTTGTATCTGTGTCACGCAGTTTTTACCAACAGAAAGGACCTCCTGCATCAATACCAACGAGCCCTAACAGGAAAAGTAACCACGTCAGCTAATTCTGATAGGTTGGATCCGTTATATGTAGGCCACAGATCTTCCGAACATCCTGAACGAACCAGGTTAGCATTATTCAGACCTCACCAACCAGGAAAAGAGGTCAGATTTGATCTGCAGCAATCTTAGGAGACACACTACCAATAAAAAGGATATGCATCTACAAAAAGCCCCTCCAAATGGCCTTTTGAATTACGTTGAATGATCATCAATAAAAAAAAAAAATCTGTGTGTAGTTATGTCATGATTATAAGTCACAGCCCAACAACCCAAACAATTAATAGCATCCAAGAAAAACATGAGATTCTTTTGTTTCCTGTAATACGAGTGACTTAATCTCACATTTGCCCCCCCACAGTTAACGCTGTGCAGGGGGGGCTCCGGTTGGATAACGGTTAGCGGGTTGGGTTTCATCACCTTCTCCGGTGTGAGGCGGGTCGTGGATTATCTTCAGGTAGCACTCGAACTGGGCGGCCAGGATCTGGCGCCCCGCACTTCCGGGCTCGATGCAGGATATGTCGCTGGCGTTTTCCTGCACCACGTCCGCCAACGTCCCCCCATCCTGGGACACCTGGACAGCGTGGTCATCCATAAACAGCACATTCCACATATTCCACATCTACATGTGTCCTCTTGATGGGAGCTACTTCATTAAGCTGTGCTCACCTCGGTGCCCAGAGCCAAGCCAATTACCAGTGAGAGCGTGAGGATCCTCCACATGTCTCTGAAAGGGGAAAGTTCACAATTATGTGTAAATTAATGAGGAAAAGAGCTGCCTTTCAGAAAAAACAGACTGATTACATGTAAAATATTGCAGAGATGTATTAATTGTCTTCCTATCGGACCTCATACGTTTCTGTCACGTGGTTTTATGAGCACACTGGGATAGCTTTTGTTTACATTATGAGCATTTTCACATCAGTGAGGACAGGAAGTTCATGCTCCAGCAGCCATTCCTCTCTGCTCCCCACTCAGGGTCACAGAAACAGATGTGTGTTTATTATTGTTTTTGGGCAAAAGGGCAGCAAATTCCCTTAAAGGTTTCATATTTAGTGAGCTGGCCAGAGACAGCTGAAACATGCTCGAAAAAGATGTTCCTTTTCATATATATTATATATATACCCTCTCAAGAACAACATCCCTGGATACAGATGCACATTATGGCAAAAACCATGTTTCTCAGGAATCGTTATTTATTACTTGTTTAAAATGATGTGCCTAAAACAGAGAGAGTGTATACTGTCATTGTGGGTGCTCAAAAATGCTGTCTGGCAGTATAAAAGCAGACTTTGTATTACCAAACAGTGTAACTTGAAGCCCTTAAAGGCTTAGAGGACTCCTCATTCCAAAAATCCAGCTCCCCACCCCTTCTCTTTGTGGAAGGTAATTATTTTTTAAGAGGGTTGTTTATTCTGTGGAGGAAAAAGGGCTATCTTAAAGGTCTAAATGTACAGTGAGACTGATAGATAGATAGATAGATAGATAGATAGATAGATAGATAGATAGATAGAT